TCCCGTGGTCAATTTATCTATCTATCTTGTGCCACTACTATACTACCTTGATTGTTATGGCTTTGTGATTATGTCCTGGTATCTGGTAAAGCAAGTCTTTTCACCTTGTTCATCTTCGAGAGGCTATTATTGGCTTTTTACATTTCCATGTAAATTTTGGAATCAGTTTGTCAGTTCCACACAGTCACAACAAAGCCTGCTGGTATTTTGATTAGGATTGTACTGAATCTATAATCACCTTAGGGAGAATTGACTTCCTCGTGATATTGAGACTTTTACTCTATGAACATGATAATATCTCTCCATTTATGTTAGGTCTGCATTGTCTCATCCTAAATTATAATTTGCTTCATACAGGTCTTACACATATTTTGTTACATTTATATTTTTGTATTTGGTATTTTTCGTATTAGTGAAAGTAGTAACTTTAAAAATTATTCATCATCTAATTGCTTGTTGTTCATATACAGTGGGGCATTGACTTATGAGTTTAATTCATTCCATGACGGAGCTCGTAACTCAAATTAGTCGTATGTCAAATCATAAAGTGAACGAGTGAGACACGTGATGCTGGGCTGATGTTGTGACGTTCGCTGCGCCAACTAGCGGTGGGGTATCTGAAGTTGGCTCGTAACCCTAATTTTAGCTCGCAACTCAAAGCAAGAAATCGGCCGAGAGACGGCTCGTATCTCGAAAAACTCGTTAGTTGGCACACTCGTAAGTCAAGGCCCCACTGTATAGATATGTAATTTATTTTGGGAGAGTTAATCCTCACCCAAGGATATTTTTTACATTGCTTTTTAGGGAGAGGAAGGTGGGGACAGAGAGAGAGAAAAACGTAGATGTGAGAGAAACCTGTAACCCAAGTACATGCACTTGACCACGAATTGAGCCTGTGACCCTTCAATCCTAGGGCAGATGATAATCACTGAGAAACACACCAGCCAGGGCGAGTTTGTATATATATATATATATATATATATATATATATATATATATATATTCACTGAGAAACACACCAGCCAGGGCGAGTTTGTAAATATATATATATATATATATATATATATATATATATATATATATATAGCCTTGTTAAACTTATTCTAATTATTTATAGATTCTTTGAAATGTTTTACATTTGCTATCACATTTTCATATATTTTGTAGATGGTAATGGCTTTGTTTATCTTTTTATGTAATCCTTTAACTTTTTCCCTCTTTATCTGACTGACTGCACTGGCTAACACCTCCATTACAAGACTGAACAGAATTGGTGATACCAGGCATTCAGTTATCAGATTAACAACTTCCCTTCTAGTTTTCTAAAAGATTTTTTAAAATCACAAGTGGAGGTTGATTTCATCATGTGCTTTCCCTGTATTTATTGAGATGAGTATATGATTTATTTATTTAATCTATTAATATGATTAATAAAGTGAATGTATTTTCTATTATCAAGCTCCCTTTAAATTTCTGACATAAATTCAAGTTAATCTTGGATATTTTATTTATTTATTTATTTAGTTTTGCACATTGATTCAGTTTGCTAGTGTTTTATTGAAGATTTTTGTATCTTTGTTAAGTGAGATTGGCCTGTAATTTTCCTTTCTAGTATTTCCCTTTTCTTGTGGGGTTATCAAAGTAATTCTGGCCCATGAGTTGAGGGGTGTCCTTTCTTTTCCTATTTTCTGGAAAAGTTCATACAGGACTAAAATGATGTGCACTTTGAAAATTTGGTGCAACTTGCCTGTATGATGTCATTCTTAACGTTTTCTCTTCATCTCACACCACACATCTAAACCATTTGCAAATTCTGTTCACTCTAGCTTTAAATTAAAATCAGAACTCAAAACTACTTCCCACCTCCACAGCCATTATGCCACCACCATCTCTCGCCTGGATGATTGCAGTAGCCTCTCTCTCTCTCTCTCTCTCTCTCTCTCTCTCTCTCTCTCTCTCTGTATGTTTTTAAAAAATTGATTTCAGAGAGAAAGAGAGACAGAAACATCAATGATGAGAGAGTCATCAATTGGCTGCCTTCTGCATGCCTTACACTGGGGGATTGATCCTGCAACCAGGGCATGTGCCCTGACCAGGAATCCATGACCTCCCATGACCATGACTTCCTGGTTCATAGGTTAAAGCTCAACTACTGAGCCACACTGGCCAGGCTTCAGTAGCCTCTTAATTGAACTTGTTGCTTCTGTTCATGCATCCATCATGACATTTGAACATTTTTAAAAATTGATTTGAGAGAGAGAGGAAGAGAGAGAAACACATCGATTTGTTCCACTTTTTTTGTTTGTTTGTTTTTAATCCTTACCGGAGGATATTTTTTCCATTGGTTTTTAAAGAGAGTGAAGGGAGTCCTAACCGGTTTGGCTCAGTGGATAGAGCGTCAGCCTGCAGACTCAAGGGTCCCAGGTTCCATTCCGGTCAAGGGCATGTACCTTGGTTGCGGGCATATCCCCAGTATGGAGTGTGTAGGAGGCAGCTGATCGATGTTTCTCTCTCATCGATGTTTCTAACTCTTTTTAAAAAAATATATTTTATTGATTTTTTACAGAGATGAAGGGAGAGGGAGAGAGAGTTAGAAACATCGATCAGCTGCCTCCTGCACGCCCCGCCCCCCCCGCCCCCCCCCATGTGCCAGCAACCAACGTACATGCCCCTGACGGGAATCGAACCTGGGATCCTTGAGTCCGCAGGCCGACGCTCTATCCACTAAGCAAACCGGTCAGGGCTGATGTTTCTAACTCTCTATCCCTCTCCCTTCCTCTCTGTAAAAATATCAATAAAATATATTAAAATAAAAATATATTAAAGAGAGTGGAAGGGAGAGAGGGAGTGTGTTGGGGTGAGGGGGGGGGACGGGAACAAACATCTGATGTGAGAGAGACACATGGATTGGTTGCCTCCTGCACCGTGGGGGAGGGGATCCAACCTGTAACCCAGGTAGTGCCCTTGAACCAGGGAATCAAACCAGCGACCTTTTGGTTTCCAGGCCGATTTGTAACCTTTGAGCACCACCGGCCAGGGGTGTTCCACTTATTTTTAAAAATATATATATTTCTTTATTGATTTCAGAGAGGAAGGGAGGAGAGATAAAAACATCAATGATGAGAGAGAATCATTGATCAGCTGCCTCCTGCACACACCCCACTGGGGATTGAGCCTGCAACCCAGGCATGTGCCCTTGGCGGGAATCGAACCTGGGACCCTTCAGTCCAAAGGCTGATGCTCTATCCACTGAGCAAGCTGGCCAGGGCATGTTCCACTTATTTATGCATTTATTGGTTGCCTCCCGTAGGTGCCCCCACCAGTTCTCAAACCCGAAAGGTTTGGGTGTACGGGAGGACACTGAACCCCCGCTCCAGGGCTGACCAAGAAACGTTAAACACAACCACTGCATACCTGCCTGAGACCAGAAGCTCCCTCTGCATTGAGCGTCTAGCCATGGCCCACAATAAAGTTTTATTGAAACAAAGCAGGAAAAAAAAAAAGGTGCTCGTCAGTCTTTTCTCACCAACCAATCAGAGAGTAGAATGCTTATGTCGCTCACAGGCGCTCCAGCAGTCGGAAGACGGGAGCGGGGACACGTCCCGCCCCCAGACCCGCCTTCTAAGAGCGGAAGTACAGCCGGAAGTCAGCCATAGAGTTGAGCCGCCAGAGCGACCCTGAAGGGAGGTGGCAGGAAAGACTCGGAACGGCTGCCGGAGGTGACGGAGCGGCGGCCCCGCCCGGCGATCGGGAAGACGAAGCTTCAGGTAGCGGCCCGCAGAGTCTAACCGAGGGTACGACGCGGCAAGCTGCGGGAGCCCACAGTCTCTGGGCGGCCTCTTTAAGGGAGGGGGCGGAGCCACGCGGCAGGACCGGAGGGTGAGGTCACGTGGTGGGGGGCACTTGCGGGGCACAGGAGATTAGAAGGAGCGTTGTCGTTGGGGTAGAGACCATGTGACACCCCTTCCCCCACTGCATCCTGTGCCTGGGGGTTCAGCGGGCTGTACGCGGTAGGGCTTGGGGTTAGGCCCAGGGGTGGGGGGCGGGCAGACTGGGCGTGGCGACCCTGTCCCAGCCTGGCATCCTTCAAGGTGTGGCGGATTTGACGATTCCTGGATCCAAGGTCTAGACGGCTCCCTCTCTGACTCCCGTTGCAGAAGGGGTTCTGTGCCTCTGCAGTCAGCCCTAGCCCTGTGCTTCTCATCCTCCCAATGTCCGGGGACCTCCAGCTTCACATCCTCTCTCCTTGCAGCTCCAGACATCCTGAGCCCAGGTCCCCCCAGCTCAGTGCAGCCATGAGTGCCGAGGTGAAGGTGACAGGGCAGAACCAGGAGCAATTTCTGCTCCTGGCCAAGTCGGCCAAGGGGGCAGCGCTGGCCACACTCATCCACCAGGTGCTGGAGGCCCCTGGTGTCTACGTGTTTGGGGAACTGCTGGATATGCCTAATGTTAGAGAGGTGGGTTCCTGGCCTGGATAGCCCACCGGGAAGCTTGGGGCTCACGTTTGAATTTGAGGTGGGTGGGCAGGACTTACTTTGCAACCCCATAACCATTCACTTGAACAATATCAGGATGATGATTAACTGGCACCTTGCAGTACGTACACAAGTAAACTCTTAGTTTCCCTTTGAGGATGAATGATCTGTGAAACCCAGTATTTTTTATTTTTATTTTTTTAAATATATATTTATTGATTTTAGAGAGGAAGGGAGAGAGAGAGAGAAATATCAATGATGAGAGAGTCATTGATGGGCTGCCTCCTGCATGCCACCCGCAACCTGGGCATGTGCACTTGACTGAAACTGAACCTGGGACCCTTCAGTCCACAGACCAATGCTCTATCCACTGAGCCAAACTGGCTAGGGCTTATTTTTTATTTCTAAGCAAAAGAGCATGTGATTCAGAATAGGAGACCAGACTCCATCTTGTCTCCACCAATGTAATAGCTCTTAATAATCATGTCTCAGTGTTCTCTTTTAAAATTGGAGCTGTGCCCTGGCTGGATAGCTCAGTTGGTTAGAGCTTGTCCCGATATGCCATGGTTGTGGGTTTGATCCCTGGTCATGGCAAATACAAGACTCAACCAATGAATGCATAAATAAATGGAACAACAAATAGAAAAAAGAAATAAATAAAAAATGGAGCTGATACTGCTCTTCAGCATTGCTGTAGAAATCAGGTGAGATTATTGGAAAGTGTAAAGTCTGGTACAAATGGAAGGAATGAATGTGAAATTGGCATACCCTGTCCCCCCCCCACCACCCCGCACCATCACTTAAGTTAGATCATATAGAAGGTATCTTTTCCCCAAAGACATGTGGCAAGGTGCTAGAAACACAGTAGAGGGAACTATTCACACAGAAGTGGTAGAGTTAAGAGTTTACAATCCACAGGGGGTAGATTGCCAAGATGTATGAAACCAGCCCAAGTCCTGAGCTGCTATGACAGTGGTATGTGGGCAAACTGTGAATTAAGTTGTCAATGGCCAGTGACTGAGTCAGTGGATTTAGTCTTTTGGGATTACTCTGTGCTATAGAGAAAACTGGCTGCCTTCTTTCCCTGCTTTCCTCTGCAATGGAGCTAAACAGTCAGTCAAAGTGAAGAAAAGTATTTATTGGATGCCTGTTGTCTGGGAATGCCAGGAAAGTAGTCAAAGACAACAGTACTTCTTTTTTTTTTTTTTTTTTTTTTTTTTTTTAAATATATATATATTTTTTAATATATTTTATTGAGTTTTCACAGAGAGGAAAGGAGAGAGATAGAGAGTTAGAAACATCGATGAGAGAGAAACATCGACCAGCTGCCTCCTGCACACTCCCCACTGGAGATGTGCCCGCAACCAAGGTACATGCCCTTGACCGGAATCGAACCTGGGACCCCTCAGTCCGCAGGCCGACGCTCTATCCACTGAGCCAAACCGGTTTCGGCGACAACAGTACTTCTGAAGCCTTCATTTCAGTTAGAGATCAGATGAATGGATATACATATACAAATCATTTATTCAGCAAGTTATTTATTGAGAGCGACAACTACATGCTTAGCTCTGCTTGACCTAAGAGGGATACCAAAGACTGGGCCTGTCATCTTGTTGAAGAGAAAGATATTCTAAGGTAACAACCTTAGGCAGGTTTTGATTAAGTGTCAGAATGAGTGATCAGGGATAGGAGGAGAGGAGATCTGGGTGGGCTGGCCTGGGTGATGAAAGCCTGGTGAAGCAGGGCTGAAGCAGAGGCCACAAATTCCAGTGGCTGCCTAGGCCATGCAGCTGGCAGAGATGAGTGAGGCTGAGGCAGGAGTCTGGTGAATTGGGGAGTATAGCAGACTGCCTAAAGATGATCAGATTTATAAATACACACACTAAATTTACAAATAAAAAACACCACTTGCAGTGTCTGGTGCATGCGTGTGTGTGTGTGTGTGTGTGTGTGTGTGTGTGAAATACTGAACACTGAATGTTCTCAACTCTGAATTTAGAGTAGGAATTGGAGGTTATGAAGGCAGAGGGCATTGCGATTGGGGGGGGGGGGTGGTATAAACGAAGGCCTGGAGGTGGAAATGAGGCCTTCCTATGCGGACAGTGATCAGAGAGGCAGAGTTCCTTTCAGTGAGCCTGGAGAGCCAATGGAAGGGAATGGTGGGGCCAGGAAGTGGGATTCAAAGCAGGTTAAGGCAGGGAGAAGGGTGAATAGAGGCCCTTCCTGTCATCTCTTCCCTCATATTCTTGCAGCTGGCTGAGAGCGACTTCGCTTCCACGTTCCGCCTGCTCACGGTGTTTGCTTACGGGACATATGCTGACTACTTAGGTAACCAGAGGGGCTGGAGCTCAGGAGTAGTGGGGGTGGGAGAAGGGCAATTTCTGGAGGGACTTCAGAGAAATTCCCGAGATATCCTACTTAGATCCAAGGTCAAGACCTGAATTGGCATGGAAAACTTGGGGGAAAAAAGCAAGGGACAGAGGCTTGGCCTTCCCACAAAAAGGAAATCAGGATGTCCTACTTTGTCCTTTTTTTCCAGCTGAAGCCCGGAATCTTCCCCCACTCACAGAGGCTCAGAAGAATAAGCTTCGACATCTGTCAGTCGTCACCCTAGCTGCCAAAGTCAAGGTGAGTGACAGTCCCCCAGTCGTGACCCACAGAGCATCCTTTTGTATGTCCCTTCACAAGGCCATCTGAAGGGAATTTGTACTGGGACAGCCTTTGATACACTGTTGCTTCTTCCTGCCTTCCCCTCCACATTCTTCCTAGATCTGTATCTAAACATCATCTGCAGCCTTTTTAGGCTGAGTATTTTTCTCTTAGCTGTCTGTTTCGTTTTTATTTTTCAATCAACTTTAAGTTCTAACTAAAACATCTTTTGTGTGTGGGGTCAAAATAGCAACTGGGATGCCACTCGCTATTTTACAAGGATCACCCTCCTTCCCACCATAGAACGGCCCATGCAAACAGCCTAGGCTCTCTCTTCTGGTGAAGTGCTAGACTTCTATTCTAGAATAAGGAATATATAACCAGAAGTGTTTGTGTGTGTTTTTTTGTTGTTGTTGTTAAATATCCCCCTCCTGTCCATTTGCAGTCTCCCAATCATTACTAGACTCTCCCATCATTCTAATGATTTTACTTAAGTCGGGCTGCCTCTTGTGAGAAGTCTTTTTGGAAGTATGCTGAGTATAAATGGTAACAGTAACTCTAGACCTCTCCCACACCACATACTTCCATTATGTCAAGCTTCAAGCTGATCTTGAGCAAGGTCTGTACACTACCCTGAGCTATGGCCAGAGGATTGACACCCAGGCAGATAATCACTTTCTTCCTCTGGTGTGAGAAGTAAGGGTGATAGGAGAGCACAAGTCGTATATGTTATTTAAGATAGCCCTTCTCATGCTGTTATTTTTCAGGCAGTAGTACTTCTATTTATTTTGTGGTAGAACCAACCTTTTAGAAGAAATGATTTAGGAATAGGAGTGGAGGGTAGGCAGGTGAGCCTAGGCGGGGGAGAGGAGTGAAGAATCTCGGAAGTCCTTCTCTATGGCAGAGCCTCACAAATCCCAGCCCGACCTCCCCGGCTCCAGTGTATCCCATATGCAGTGTTGCTGGAGGCCCTTGCCCTGCGGAATGTGCGGCAGCTGGAAGACCTTGTCATAGAGGCCGTGTATGCCGACGTGTTACGTGGCTCCCTGGACCAGCGCAATCAGCGGTTGGAGGTTGACTACAGCATTGGACGGGACATCCAGCGCCAGGACCTCAGTGCCATTGCCCGAACCCTACAGGAGTGGTGAGACCTGTGTCCTGGCACTGTCCCTTCTCTCACCCCACGCAGGGGAGAGGTGCTTTGGAGGGTGAGGGCTGGGCGGCAGAGGGAATTCAAGAGGATGAAGGGAAATGGGCTCGTTCCTTCTGAGAGAAGACAGGAGTGGAGGGGCTTGGGAGGCAAGAGACAGGAGATGGTGTCCTTAGTGTCATAACTGGGGAGGGAAAGGTGAGTTGCACTCTTGAGAGGATCCTCACTGGGAAGTTGGTTACCTTAGGCTGGATTCAACCCATTAGTCTGTAACCAGCACTGTCCACAGGCCCTGGGCCTCTTCCACTTCTGCTTTCTCTAACTTTAATTAGTACACCTTTAATTTCTCTTTAGCAGCCCCTATCCCACTTTGGTTTTGAGTTCCTACTCCCATTTTGCACATCACTCCATTCACTTCCTTATACCTCTCTAATCCTACCTGAGTGTCCTGGCTCCTGGGAATATTGTTGCAGGTGGTTTCCAGATGCCCTGGTGAGGGTTCCTAACTCAGACAAGGATTTGCATATCAGGATCTAGGGTTCTTTCTGGGTCTATTTTTAGTGAGTCTGTGATCACAGCTCTCTTCTGCTGACACTTCTCTCCTCATTCCCGCAGGTGTGTGGGCTGCGAGGTAGTGCTGTCAGGCATTGAGGAGCAGGTGAGCCGTGCCAACCAGCACAAGGAGCAGCAGCTGGGCCTGAAGCAGCAGATTGAGAGTGAGGTGAGCTGTCAGGGGAGTGAGACAGACCCAAGCTCCTTCAGCCGGGGCCAGTTGTCAAATGCAGAGGGGTTTGGACAGTGGCTGTAGCAGACAAACAAGGTGGGCAGGACTGTCAGGTTCTGGAACCTTCCTTGTTATCCCCCACTCCTTTCATCCTGGTAGGTTGCCAACCTTAAAAAAACCATTAAAGTTACAACAGCAGCAGCAGCCGCAGCCACATCTCAGGACCCTGAGCAACACCTGACTGAACTGAGAGAACCAGCTGCTGGCACCAACCAGCGCCAGCCCAGCAAGAAAGCTTCAAAGGGCAAGGGGTGAGCCAGTGTAGCAGGAATTGCTCGCTTCGCTTCCGGGGTGCCCTGCTTTTTCTTCAGAGACCTGGCTGCCTTCACTCCCTTTAGTCATTTGCAGGGGGTAGGGAATGGGGGGAACCTTCAGGGATTAGGGGATTCCTTGCAGCTTCTCTCTCTTTCTTCTCCTTGCCAGGCTCCGAGGGAGCGCCAAGATTTGGTCCAAGTCGAACTGAAGGGACTGTCGCTTTTTTCCTCTGGGGATACGGGGTCCCAGCTGCCTGGCTGCCCCTTAGGAGTCCTCAGAGAGCCTTCCTGTGCCCCTGGCCAGCTGATAATTCTAGGTTCATGACCTTTCATCTCTCTTCTGTCCCCCACCCCCAAGCATAGATCACACCTTCTCTAGGGAGGAGGCAAGTACAAGTCATGTTTTGTTGGTACTTTTTGTTTTATGTGACTTTCTTACGTGTCCCATTGTCCCCCTCCCCTTCCCTACCATGCTCTCTCTCCTATATTTTTAAGAGACAGCACTGCCCTTGTTTATTATATGTCATTGAGTAGGTGGGGCTGCTGGTCTCCAGTAAACCCACATGTGATCCTTGTCCTACCACCCCACCCCTGCATGACTAATTCCCGATTCCTACTCCCTACCCCCAGCCTATTTGGGCAGCATCTACAGAGCCGTAGGGCTCCCATCTCTGTTCCCACCCTGAAAGTTCTGGGAGCTAGTCTGCCATTCTAGGAGTCACTGGACACTTTCATCCTCAAATTTTGTCGTTTCTTTTCACCTCCCCTTGGGTCCTGGGAATGCTGCTGCTTCAATGACCCCAGAGCCTAAGAAGGGCAGCTGTTTCTCGAGATGTTGAGAGATAGTTCTTTCTTGGCCCTGGCTATCTTAGAAAGCCTGATGGCAAACCTGGAAGAATTTATACTTTCTTTTTGTGAGTTTTATGGAGAAGGAAAGGGGATATAGATTGTATTAAAAAAGTATACATATATATACTATATCTATATATAACAACACAGAAATAAATCTATGAGAAGTCTATCTGTAAGCATGCCCTGAACTGGGTATCTTCTGTCTTTGTTATTTGTGGATGGGAAGAATGTTCATTCCCAGTCCACTCTACAGCATGGTGCTGGAAAATGAAGAGAACCAGATACTTTGTGCTGAGTCTTGGCCTACGTGACTTTGGACAGATTGCTCAGTATCTCAGCATTCGTTCCGAAGCAGTGGATACTTCGTGAGCACCAACATGTGACAGGCACTGGAGATGCAAAGTGATGATCACTGTCCCAGTCCTCAAGGAGCTGGAGTTCAGCCTGTTTCCTTCCACCTTAAAGAATTATAAGGGGAAGATTGACAGTACACTTCAGTTTTTGCATCAGAACCACAGAGCTCAGAGCTTCCCTAGCATTGTACTGAGAGGACTGGTCTTGGCCTAGTGCACTGTTGTGCATTCCCTGGAATTGGGAAGCACTAGTGTAAGGGATGGTTGCCCACCCCCCACACACAATTGAATGCGAAGCAGTTGCCTCCTGAGGGTCCCAGATCTTGTGCTATTCTCTAGATGGAGATTTAGGACAGACCATTCTATTGGTCCTAAAGGTGTCAGTCACAGACCTAGAAAGTGGGGTGGAATTCTGAGTTTTTTATTAAAGTGGGCTGGGTAAGCATATTGTCTTGAGGGGGCTATGGAGACTTAATGGAGCCAATCCAAAGAGCCCTACTTCAGGAGTTGACACTCCTGGCTTCTCATTTTAGCTTTTCCCTAGACAAGCATATTAAGCCTGTTGCATCTTGATTCTCAGTCTCTACCTCTGAAATAAACCCTTTCTTCCTCCCACACCTTCTAATGTATAGAAGTTGCTCATTCCTAGTGCTTTAAACCTGTCTCCCCTTCCTCTGCCCATGCCCGTTTTTCTCTTGAACTTACACATTTTCCTGCAAACTGGTTGCAGCTAATGGCTCCATAACTTCCTGACCTCTCTAGCTCCATCCTTTAGTGCAGCGGTTCTCAACCTGTGGGTCGCGACCCCTTTGGCGATCGAACGACCCTTTCACAGGGGTTGCCTAAGACCATCCTGCATATCAGATATTTACATTACGATTCATAACAGTAGCAACATTATAGTTATGAAGTAGCAACGAAAATAATTTTATGGTTGGGTCACAACATGAGGAACTGTATTTAAAGGGCCAGGGGACCCTTTCCCCCTCCCTAGGTGGGAGTCTGTACTTGTTCTTCAATAAATCTCCATCTAAAAAAATAAACAAACAAAGAGCCAGAAGGTTGAGAACCACTGCTTTAGTGGATGGCTCTAGAGCAGTGGTTCTCAACCTTCCTAATGCCACGATCCTTTAATACAGTTCCTCATGTTGTGGTGACCCCCAATTTCATTGTTACAAATTGAACATAATTAAAGCATAGTGATTAATCACAAAAACAATATGTAATTATATATGTGTTTTCCGATGGTCTTAGGCGACCCCTGTGAAAGGGTTGTTCGACCCTCAAAGGGGTGGCGACCCACAGGTTGAGAACTGCTACTCTAGAGGTGTGTGCTGGGCTGGGACTGCCTGGCTAAATATCCAAAGGAGGGGGACCCTTCACAGCCCCAGGGACATGCAAATGCAATTTGTCTTTGATTTGCAAAGATGGGCTCTTGGCTACCAAGGCATGGAGAAGAGGGAGCAGAGTATTTGTGGACTCAGTTTTTGAGCATGAAATTTGGTTCAGGATTTAGAGATTCCATGTATAAATAAGCCCACGGCACCAGGAAAATCTTCTTAACCAAGAATCTTATCACCACTTGCACACACTCACACACTCATCCCTAACGTACAGCAATCTCAAATGACCTCAGGGCTGGACCACTATGGTAAGAAGAGGAGGAAGAAAACTTGCTTCCATGAGAATTCAGAGTTCATGCACATGAGACAGATGACACTTAAAAGATTAAACCAAAGTCTCTGAAGCTAAAAACAGCGGTTGGACTGGTGCCTGTCCTCATGCACAAGAAAAACACACAATGTCTACAGTCAGTGTTTTGTGAAATCCTGCTAGAGAAGAAATTCTCCCCTTAGGTGCACCTTCCGACATGAGTGGAAAGAAAGGCATGAGAGAGACAAGTCCAGGCAGTGTGTTACATATTACTGTACAAACTAGCCCAAAACGTAGTGGCTTAAAACCACACGTTTACTAACTCAGTTTCTGTTTTGGGATTTGGCACAACTGAGCTGAGTTTTCTGCTTTAGGGTCGTTCACAGGCTACAAACAGTGCTCATTAGGGCTATATTATTTCAAGGTTCCAATGGGAAGGACTTGATTCCCAGCATGCTCAGTGATTGTCAGCAGGATTCACTGCTTCAGAGGTGGATGGACTGAGGACCTCATTTCCTGTTGACTTGGTTAGAGGCCATCCAGGTGGCCTCCATCGGAGCAGGAGACCACATCAGCAAGGTGAAATAACAATTGTCTTTCTATGATAATTGCTAATAATACAAGCTAGTATTTTTAAGTGTTTACTATAATCAAGCAGTATCCTAAGTGCTTTATGTATGTAAACACTTAATTTACACAAGGACCTTCTGAGATTGTATGATTACCCACTGCTCAAGATGACAAAAGAGGTATGAAGATTATGTAATTTGCCCAGGGTCACACAAATTATAAGTGGAGAAGGCACACCTCACCCTGTCTCCCATGCTCCTAAATGCATGGAGCAGCCATCTGAGATCTCAGAAGTAAATGGTAGCAGGGAGAAAAAACAAAATTCAAAGTTCCACTAAAAAATGGTGAGTTCACCATTTTTCCTCCTCCAGTATCATCCAAAATGGACTCAAAGGCAGCCAAAACCAGAAATGAACATCAGATGTGAACTGAAAGAACTCTTCTTGGAACCCTCTATTGCAGGTGTGAGGAGCAGAAAGGGACTCCTAAGAGGTAGACTGGGGGAAACCCCATTTTCTTTTTTTATATATTTTATTGATTTTTTAAAAAATATTTTATTGTTTTTTTACAGAGAGGAAGGGAGAGGGATAGAGAGTTAGAAACATCGATCAGCTGCCTCCTGCACACCCCCCACTGGAGATGTGCCCGCAACCAAGGTACATGCCCTTGACCAGAATCGAACCTGGGACCCTTCAGTCCGCAGGCCAATGCTCTATCCACTGAGCCAAACCGGTTAGGGCTTTATTGATTTTTTTAGAGAGGAAGGGAGAGGGACAGAGAGAAACATTGATGAGAGAGAAACATTGATCAGCTGCCTCCTGCACACCTCCTACTGGGGATGTGCCCGCAACCAAGGTACATGCCCTTGACCCGAATTGAACCTGGGACCTTTCAGTCTGCAGGCCGATGCTCTATCCACTGAGCCAAACCAGTTAGGGCGGAAACCCCATTTTCTTCTTTTCCCTTTTTTCTACCTCCAGCCCCAAGCACACCATGGTGGTGATAGCTGCAACAGTGACAGCAAGAGTGGCTGAGCAGGCACTTGAAATTCTGAGAGGAGAATCCCTGTCTCTGACCAGAAGAGTTGTGGTCCCACAAGTGTGAGTCAGATCCCCTGTGCTTTTTTCTTTCTCTGCTCTCTTGGGCTTAGCCCAGACATAGTGGGAAATGCCTAGCAGACTAGAGAAAATAAAATTCCAACTTTTGGTCAGAGGATTGGGACGGGAAGCCCCCAGAGAACCAGAAAGGTCATAGGAGGAAATTGAAGAGAACAGTCCTACAGAATTATGTGTTAACTCCTGTGCTCATCTCTGAGCAGCACAAGCATGGATCTGACCCTAAATTGCTTGCCAAAGCTTTGTGACCTGAGCAACAGGATGGACCACTGTCCAAGTCTGACTAGCCACGTAGAGCTGATCCAAATACCACCACAAAATTAAACTGATAATGGAACCACAATGCAAAGAAGGCAAGTTGCTGCCTGAGTCCAACCTGATTAATTGCCTGTAAAAACAAACAACATTCTCCTTAGGATCTTAACAAGATCTACAGTCAATATTCAAAATATCCAGGATACAATATAAAATTACGCAGCATACAAAAAAATCTCCAGGGAAAAGACAACCAACCCAAGATGACAGGGGTGTTAGAATTGAAAGCAAAGACTTCAAAGCAGTTAATAAAACCACATTGGAAGAAGAAAGGGAGAATTTCTTAAAACAAATGGCAAGATAGGAAGTTTCAGCCAAGAAATAGAAGATATAAAGAACCAATAGACATTTTGAACTGAAAAATAGAAATAACCAAAATAAAATAGTCACTGGATAGGTTTATTAGCAGAAAGGAGAAGACAGAGGAACAAGTGAGTTTGAAGGTAGATCATTATAAATTGTGTTTTCTAAAACAACAGACAAAAATATGTTTAAACAAACCACACCAGAGCCTCGGGAACCTGTGGGACAATACTAAAAGGTCTAATATTCATGTCAACAGTGTCCCAGAAGTTGAGAAAATGTGAAATAGAAAAGTTATTAGAAGAAATAACTAAAAAATCCCAAATTTGGCCCAGCCATTGTGGTTCAGTGGTTGAGCCTTGACTTATGAACCGGGAGGTCAGGATTTGATTCCTGGTCAGGGCACATGCCCATGTTTCGGGATCCCCAGTGTGGGGTGTGCAAGAGGCAGCTGATCGATGATTCTGTCTCCCTCTCCCTTCTTCTCTGAAATCAATTAAAAAACATATTTTTTTAAGTAGAGATAGTGGAACTATGAGCAATGTACCAAACAGAAACAAATAATAAAATTATAGAAATAAATGCAAACAATAATGATATTAGATGTATAAATAGCCTAAATGCAACACTTAAAAGATAAATTATTAAAATGAATTTTAAAAATCAACTATATGCTGCCCTTGAAAATCCATTTTTAAGTATGACACAGGTGGGTTAAAAGTAAAAGGATTGGTGTCCCTGTTGTCTTAGAGTACATAATTTATAGGGTAGGTAAGTTGGTTAGAGCGTTGTCCTGACACACCAATATCGCAGGTTTGATCTCCAGTCAGGGCACATACAAGAAGTGACCAATAAATGCATAAATAAGTGGAACAACAGATCAATGTTTTGCTCTCCCTTTCAATTCAATAAAAAAATAAAGTTCAGCCTAGCTGGTGTGGCTCAGTGGTTGAGCATCAACCCATGCACCAAGAGGTCACAGGTTTGGTTCCTGGTAAGGGCACATGCATGGGTTGCAGGCTCAATCCTCAGTAGGGTTCATACAGGAGGCAGCCAATCAATGATTCTCTTTCATCATTAATGTTTCTTCTCTTTCCCTCTTCCTTCCTCTCTGAAATCAATAAAAATATGTTTTTTAAATAAATAGAGCAAAAACTGATAGATGTCAAAAGAAAAATGGGCAGATTACAATTGTAACTGAAAATTTCAAAACTCTTTTCTCAGTAATCAACAGAACAAGTAAACAGAAAATGACCAAATATATGGAAGTATACAAAACCGAATGATACCATCAGCCAAGAAAATCTAATAGAAATTTATAGAACACTCCCCCAACACAGAAGAATACACTTTTTACTTTCAAGTGTGCATTGAACATTTACTGAGATATACTGTTCTGTGTCATAAAATTCAACAAATTTAAAGAATCAAAGTCATACAAACTGTTTTCTGACCATAATGGAATTATAAGTAGAAATCAATAACAGAAAGCTAGCAGGGAACTCTCCAAACATTTGGAAACTAAACACATTTCTAAATAACTGATGGATCAAAGAGAAATTAGAAAATATTGTGAACTTAATAAGAAATATATATGCTGAACCGGTTTGGCTCAGTGCATAGAGCGTCGGCCTGCAGACTCAAGGGTCCCAGGTTCAATTCAGGTCAAGGGCATGTACCTTGGTTGCGGGCACATCCCCACCGGGGGGCGTGCAGGAGGCAGCTGATCGATCTCTCTCATCGATGTTTCTAACTCTCTATCCCTCTCCCTTCTTCTCTGTAAAAAATCAATAAAATATATTTTTTAAAAAAAGAAATATATAAAACTAGAGGCCCAGTGCATGAAATTAGGGTAGGGTAGGGTCCCTATGCCTGACCTGATACCAGGGCCCATCAGGTTCCCCACCTCCCCGCCTCCTCCTTCCCTTGCTCCCTCAGCGCCCCACCACCACTGCAGCTGGTCTCCCGCCATGTTCCGCACCGCCTCCTGGTGGTCAGTGCACATCAGAGCGAGCGAGCAAACTCCCAGTCTGGTCGAACTCCTGAGAGGACAATTTGGATATTAGCCTTTTATTATATAGGATACCAAAATATATTGGATGCAGCTAAAACAGTGACTAAGGGAAAAATCATAGTATCAAATGCTTATATTAGAAAAGAAGAAAAGTCTGAAGTCAACAATCTACATTTGTACCTTGAAAAGCTATATAAAGAATTGGAGAAATAAACACAAAGCAAGCAGAAGAAAAACAAGAGCAGCAATTAGTGAAATTGGAAACAGAAAAATAGAAAAAGTCAATGAAACCAAAAGTTGATTATTTAAAATGATCAATAAAATTAATAAACCTCTAGCCATACTGATAAAAGAGAATAGCGAAGATATAAATTTCTAATATCAGGAATAAAAGAGGAGATACCACTACAAACCCCACAGATATTAAAAAGTTAATAAGCCCTAGCTGGTTTGACTCAGTGGATAGAGCCCGCGGGACTGAAGGGTCTTGGGTTCGATTCTGGTCAAGGGCATATGCCCAGTAGAGTGTGCAGGAGGCAGCTAATCAATGATTCTCTCCCTCTCCCTTACTCTCTGAAACCAATAAAAATATATTTTAAAAATTAAAAAGTTAAGGGAATATGACACATAAATTCAACGACTTAGATGAGATGGATCAACTCCTTGAAAGCTACAAGCTACCAAAACTCATCCAACGAGAGAAAGATGTAAAAATATACAATTATAAACCTTTTAGAAGATAGCATAGGAGAAAATCTTAGTTTCTGGAATTAGCAAAGTGTTCTTAGATGCCACACCAAAAATGTTAATTCATAAGAGAAAAAAAGTGGTAAGTTAGACTTCATTAAAATTCAGAACTTTTGCTTGGGGGGAGAAAAAGTCAAGAAAAGGAAGAGACAAGCTACAGAATAGGGGGAAAAATACATGTAAATCCCTATCTAACAAAGAGCTAACCAGAATATATAAAGAGCCCTAAAAACTCAACAGTAAGAAAATAAACAAGCCAATTGAAAAATAGCTGACTTACACACTTTATTAATGAGACTGTAATGATGGCAAATAAGCACATGAAAAGATGCTCAACATCATTAGTCACCAGGGAAATACAAATTAAAATCATGATGCAATATCTATTAGAATAGAGTACTTACACACCCAATAGAATGGGTGAAATAAAGTAATTGACAATACCAACTGCTTGCAAGGAGGCAAAGCAAATGGAACTCTTGCTTTGCTGGTAGGAATACAAAATGGCACAGCTACTCAGGAAAACAGTTTATCATTTTCTTATAAAGTTAAGTATACACTTACCATATGACCTAGCAATCCCACTCCATTTCATGCTAAAGAAACAAACATGTTCACACAAAAACGTGTATAGGAATGTTTATAGCAGCTCTTTTCATAATTGCCAAAAACTGGTGAATGGATAAACAGACAATAACCAGTAGAATACAACTCAGCAATAAAAAGGATCGAACCATTAATACATACAACATCAAGAGTGAATCTCAAGGGCTAAATAAAGCCGAATGAAAGAGCCACTTTCAAAAGGTTACACACTATATGACTTCATCATACAACATTCTGGAAAGGCAAAACTCTAGCAATGGAGAACAAATCAGTGGTTGCCAAGGGATAGGATTGGAGGAAGGGTGTGACTACAAAGAGCAGCAGGAGAGGGTTTGCGGGTAATGGAACTGTTTTTATCCTGATTGTGTTGGTTTACCCAAATCTATTATGTGTTAAAACTCATAGAAACTGTACACACAGCAGCTTTACTGTGTGTAAAAACAAATACAAGATTAAAAAAAACATGTACTGGGTTACTGGCAATCCATCGTTTTAAAACTATGCTGTTGGGTAAATTTTAATATAAATTTTTAAACAACTTTAAATCACTGAGGAACTTTTCATTTAAAGGAGCCCCCATTGTGAGTCATTCTGTACAGCATGTTAGTATCATTTGTGTCTATCTGGATTTTGTGTCCTGGCTCTTGCAGTGCTACTAGGTAGCTATATGATGTTCGAGTCACCTCTGTTCCACAGTAAAATAGGAGCTGGGGTTTGGATATCCGTAATTGTTGCTAAGCTACCTTGGAATCCTCTCCAACCTCAAGATTCTGCTTTAGTAGGTTGGGTGGTAATTCTGACCTGCTGGCACATTTGGGAACATACAGAGGTGATCTCTAAGGTCTCTTTCAACTCTAAAATTATATCATATACTTAATTTGCTTAAATCAAGGGCTATCTGTATTGGGAATCGGTTTCTGTCCTTCCCTGCCACATTCTCTGTGAATTGGGAACCCACCCCCCACCCAGATCCCACCAGTAGTTTTCTAAGAGCCTAGCTTTGCTAACTTTCCTCAAACCATTTTCCACCTGTGTCACTATGACTTTTCCAGGGTATTTCTGCTCCCTCTTTTAGAGACTCAGTCCAAATCTCTAGCCCTTTCCCATGCCCCCTTCTCTCCCCTCCTCCAGCGTCATGTATCCAAATGTCCTTCGCCTCAGACCCCACAGACATATGGCTGACATCCTGGATGGAGAACACTGACATCTTGGGGATAATTGTCCAGAACCTGTAAGTTCTCCAGTTGGCAAGTGACAGGCTAGATGAAGAGGATGGGATGGATGCTGGGGCAGCACCCCATTCTCCAAAAGATAAGGTCCTCAGGGATGAGAAGAATCATAAAGGGCAGAGAAAGGGCAAGGAATTCTGACCTCACCTCAAGGACAGTCTAGAGGACAAGGACCTGGGCCCAGAGCAGGAAGCACCACTGCTCCTCCTTGTCCCTGGAAATCCACTTAAGGTAGATATTGAGGCTGGGAAGGCTCAGAGCTACAGCACTCCACAGGGGGACTTTAGGCTCACCTTCTCTAGCAGCTCTGCCAGCCTTCTGCAACCCAGCCCCTTTAGTGATCTTCCATCCAGCCATTCCAGCTCCATGCCCCCCGCTGGTTCTCCCCAGGGATGGAGGCAAGTTGGGAGGCTCCTTACAGGAACCAGCTACACAAAGTCTACTTCTCTTATCTTTCAGCAACTCCTCTGCCCAACTGTCCCTATCGTCATCTCTCCTCCTCTAGTGTGGCTTCACCTGGCTCCCACCTCTCCTATCTGAAGCCCCCCAGTGATGTCTAAGGGAGAGAAAGGGAAAGGCTACTTTTTTCTTGTTCCTAGCCCAACTGGAATGGCCCAAGAGAAGGAATCCTTGACTCTTGCTGCTCCTTCAGCCTCATTCCCAGGACTGGGAGCTTAAGGGCAGAATAGGTATATAAAGTTAAATGGTCTGGAATATGTGGGCTGGGAGACCAGCCCTCGTTCTCTGGGTAGCCTGTTTATATAACTTGGGCACTGAGTAGGCATCATTGAGTAAAAGGTGTTACTAGAACCGGAAGCCCTTTGTTAGCACAGGAGGAGGGAAAATCTCAAACTGCAAGGGGGACAGGATCAGAATGGCCCAAAACATTTCTTTCTACTTGTTGGTCTGTGAACTGAGCAATGGCAGGGTGAAAGATGATAGTTGGTAGCTGGAAGAACGGAGAGCTTGAGGCTGATTCAAGGCCAGTAAGATGGAAGTTTGGTTGTGTCTGGAAGTATTTGAGGAGTCCTGTGGATGGAATCAAGGATGAGGACCACAGAGAGCACTGAAGGAACCAGACTCAGACAGAGTAACTGGGGAGAAGTCATTCATATTCCATGCACTGTGTCAAAAGCGTTCTGTGTACTATCCACGTCACCACTGCCACCAGTGCCAAGAAAGGCCCATTTTACAAAACAGGAAACTGATGTTGAGAGATGAAGAATCTTCCCCAGAGTTGTAGATAACTGTTGGAACAACACATCACTGCTGAGAACTAGAGTCACAGGCCTGCGGAGTAAGTGCTGGGTTGAAGGGTGGACCTCACCCAAGAGCAGGGAGCAGGGGTGAAAATTAGTTCATGTGTCTGAAAGCCAGAACCCAAATGGGAGAGCTTGTGAAACACTGGAGTGACTCACCTAGATGGCAATAAGGGCAGCCCTTGCCCTGCTACAGCCCCTACTCAGAACTACACCCATGTGTGGGTGCTGGCACAGAAATTCAGGTTGAGATTGGGCACTGCTGTAGCCTAAGACTTTGTAGCTAGAAGGAACCTGCATAGCTGAGGTCCAGGGAAATGAATGACCTGCCTAAGACCACATGGCTAGGTTGGTGGCAGAGCTGAGTTGAAGACCCAGCCTCTGGGCTCCTTCTGTAACTCCAGTGCTTTTTCATGTGCTGCCTCCTCAGGAGACTAAGGCTGCTCCCCCTGCCAGAGGAAGTAAACACGTGTCTATCTGGACAGAGCAGATTATACTTGAAGCTGGGGGCTGTAGACACTTTGAGTTCCATCAACCATAACTCAGCACCCAGATGGAGGTTGTATTAGCTATACCTGTTTAACCTCTGGAATTCTTGGGTTATGGTGTGGTTTTTTTTTGTTTTTATTAATTTCTAGAGAGAAAGGGAGAGGGAGAGAGAGAAACATCAAAAAGAGGGAGAGAGACAGAGACAAAGACAGAGAGAGAGAGAGAGAGAGAGAGAGAGAGAGAGAGAGAGAGAGAGAAACATCGATGTGAGAAACAGATCAGTTGCTGTAAGTACCCCAACTGGGACCAAACCCACACCTTGGGCATGTGCCCTGACTGGGAATCAAACCAGTGACCTTTCAGTGCACAGGATGACACTCACCCAACTGAGCATTCTTGGATTCTTCTAGCCATTGAATTGGTTCCCTTGACCCTGGTCATGCCTCTTCACCAACCCTATTTAATAAGATTTAACACCTGCCTTGGACTACAAAGCCAGTGTTTGGTTGTTGAGCTCAACATCATCTCTCTGCTCATTGAGCAACTAGACAAATCCTCTTGAACCTATTTATCCATTAAAACATCCCTTTGCTGAGAGGACTCAGAGCCTTGAATTTTGGGTGGTTGCTGATGGATGTTTTGCCTTTGTTTACCAACTGAAAAGAACTGAAGATTTTTTTAATTAGTGGAAACCATCATTAAACTCATACAAGCATTTGTCATCATTAATAGGTTCCCAAGAGAAACAGAGTGACCCATTTGCCTGAGCCAGGTCAAGCAAGAGTGAACGTCTTGAGAAATTTGAGCACTTCATGCCCTTCCAGTACCGCTCAGGTTCCAGGTTAGTTTTCCCCTCGGGTCTCCTTCACTGGGCTCAAATTCTCAACAGCTGGCAGTGGAGGGTTTGAAGAATGTTTGGTGGAATGTTGCTGACCCCAGAGTTCCTCCCACTTGAAGGCCTGCGTACGGTTATTTGGACTCCTTCCTGCTCTGGACCACAAGTGTTCCCACCCACAGTCCATGGGAGAGACTGCGCCTGAGGGACAAGGGGCAGCAAATTCCTCAGGCACCTATGAGATATGCCCTACATTCCCCCTGACAAATGAAGTTACAGCAAAAGCAAGGGAAGACAGCTGCTTACATTTCATCCAGCCCAGCTGAGTTCCATTGCTGCTTCCCATCTGCCAGTCCCAATGCCATTACCATTGAGGCACTGGGATTGAACTTGAGTTATGAAGGCCACACATGAAGACAGAAGAAAGGAAATGACGAGGAGGAGACAAGAGGGTTGAAATTGAACAGGAAAAGATTAAAAGCAAAGCCAGAATGCCACTTGGTTTTTTTTCCCCATTCTCCTTTATTCCTTAAACACCTAGTTACAAGTTGCACAAACAAAAAATAAAGGTAGAGGACACAGGGAAGATTTTTGTGATGTGTAGGAGATGGGAAGGGAGAAGGGGGTGAGAACCAGTACTCTCTCTCCACATAGCCCCCTGAATGAGGGCTATGACCCCTGTAGCAGGGGGTCTGAGAAGGAAGTGGGCAAAGGTCCAAGGTAGCTGAGGGAGGGAGGAGGCCCTTAAACCCAGAGCTCCCCACAAAAGCCTTCAATGTATGGCAGGGGTAGAATGGGGAAGGTGAGGAGGTTCAAAGATGGAGCAGCAAAATGAAAAATCAAGTTAGTGGATACAGGAGATGTGGAGTCACTGTGGGAAGGGAATTAAAGAAGGAAAATGTAGATAAAGGGGGCAGTGAAAGGTTCTCCCTGAGACTTCAGGGAGAGTGGGGGGCCAGCTTGCCTGTTAATTTAATATTAAAGTGGGAGTGGGAGTTGGAGAGGAAAAAGTTATATCGGGGGATGATTTGTCAGCCTCTCAGCCTGTACCTGGAGGGGGAGAGAGATGAGTACAAGTCAAAAGGAAGACAAATGATAAAAGCCAGGAGTTGGGGTTTAATCCCTATTCTGGTGAGAGTTCTTTCCGTAGCAACTAAAACTTCTATCAAAGGCAGTATTTGCTAGGCACCTGGACTGTTTCTGCCTCAGCAGAGTAATGGGCACAGGTACTCTGCCCAACCTCCCTCCTGTGCCTGGCATCTTACAATTCCTCCCCCTCAAATACTTACAAGAGAGGCTGAGGGCCCAGGGCCCTCACCAGTCATAGCGGCGGGACTGTCGGGAGGGGGAGTCCTCAGGTGCCTGTATGGCCAGGCGGGGAGGCCCTTCGGTCCTTCGGCCTCCACCCCCTGAAGCCTCATGCCTTCGAAATTCCAGAGGGCGCTGCTGCCGGAATCGGGAGGTCTCTCTCCGCCATTCATCATCAAATGCTGCGGCCTCACCTGAAGAGGACATAGACCAGACACCACCTGTGGACAGCCTGGCTTCCAGAGGAAGATGCAAGGGTGAGCCACAGGCTTCTATGACTGAAACTGCTGAGAGTAGGGGTATGGGATGTGTGGGGGAGGGCAAGCTTATTTAGCAATTCCTGGTTCAATGTGGTTCCTAGAAGCCACTAACAGGCCTAAGGCATGACCACTAGAGAAGGAATTCAGGAATGGGATAATTATTTACTTAAGGAGCAGAGTCCCAAGCACACAATAAATATTTGATAAGTATTTGTTGATTTAAAAAAACAAGAAAAAGCCAGAACCAGTTTGGCTCAGTGGATAGAGCGTCGGCCTGCGGACTGAAAGGTCCCAGGTTCGATTCCGGTCAAGGGCATGTACCTGGGTTGCAGGCACATCCCCGGTGGGAGGTGTGCAGGAGGCAGCTGATCGATGTTTCTCTCTCATCGATGTTTCTAACTCTCTATCTCTCTCCCTTCCTCTCTGTAAAAAATCAATAAAATATATTTAAAAAAAAAACACGAAAAAACAAACAAAATAAAAATGGATCCAGTTGGAGAGGGTAGATTACTATCACTCTCTCACTTAGGTGACAGACTTTGCCCCTCCCTGGTGACCTGACTCAGCCCCAAAGCTGACAAGCCTCCAAGAGAGGTAAGAATATGGGGCTCACCATCACCCGGCAGGTGTGACTTAGTGGTTGAGCATCAACCTATGAACCAGGAGGTCACGGATCAATTCCCAGTTAGGGCACATGCCCGAGATGCAGGCTCACTCCCCAGTGGGAGGCATGTAGGAGGCAGCTGATGGATGATTCTTTCTCATCATTGATGTTTCTATCATTATCTCTCTCCTGTCCTCTCTGAGATCAATAAAAATGTTAAAAAAAAATGAAAAGAAATATGGGGCTCACCATATTTTGCCCAAAAAAATATCTATGGATGTAGGGAGAAAAAGCTGGTATCTCCTAGTTCACAGAAACTGGACTAGGACTAGGGGCTATTGGAAGAGAAGCTGGAAGGGCGGTGAGCAGCAAGGAAGGCTCACTTTCATCCAGGTTGATGTAGTCCTGCCGCTCTTCCTGGTCCCCTGTGCGGTGGTTTCGGGAGCGCTGGAGGATGTGAGCCCGATCTCGGATGTGATGTCCAATGGACATCTGCTCTAGTCCACTGTCCGAGTCCCGCACAGTCCTCCGAGTCTCCCGGATCTGGGATGAGGCAGAACATGGCACATTCAGCTGCCCCTTCCAAAGCCCAGGCCACGCCAACCCGGGACAGACAAACCACCCACAGCTCAATCTTGAAAAAAGAAGGCAGGGTTTCTGTGGCTGCCATTCAAATCCTGCCTTCTCTGAGAGGGAAAGCTCTCCAACTCACCCCGCCTGGTGCCGAGCGCATCTCTGACGTCTCCTGGTAGACCTTGGGGGCACCGTCACCCGTATTGGAGTAGGAGATGACTGTGGAGGATGAGAAGGTCTGGCAGTTGCCTCCAGCAGTCATGTGTTCCTGAGAAGGAAAGGGTCCAGTGGGCCTGAAGGGGAGGGGCTCTGGAGACAGGATCCCACCCTTCAGCTGCCTGTTCTTGCTCATATCTTCCTCACAAAATGTGAAAACTAAGAAAATGTCAGGACTCATCATTACCCCCCAAATTCCTGAGTGCAACAATAAAAAAGGACCGCCTGGCCAGTGTGGCTCAGCGGTTGAGCATCAACCTATGAACCAAGAGGTCGCCAGTTGGATTCCCAGGTTGCAGGCTTGATCCCCAGTGGGGGGATGTGCAGGAGGCAGCCAACTGATGTTTCTATCTTTCCCTCTCCCTTCCTCTCTCTCTAAAATCAATATAAACATATTTTAGCCGTAACCGGTTTGGCTCAGTGGATAGAGCGTCGACCTGCGGACTGAAAGGTCCCAGGTTCGATTCCGGTCAAGGGCATGTACCTTGGTTGCGGGCACATCCCCAGTAGGGGGTGTGCAGGAGGCAGCTGATCGATGTTTCTCTCTCTGATGTTTCTAACTCTCTATCCCTCTCCCTTTCTCTCTGTAAAAAAATCAATAAAAAAATATATTTAAAAAAATATATATATATAAACATATTTTAAAAATAAATAAAAAAGAAGGACTTTAAGAGTTTTAGCCTTAACTGCATATTTCATAAGAGTGCTGCTGCTGCTTCACACTCAGGCATGAGAGCAGACACCGAAACCCAGTGCTCTCCGGATTCAGTTTCTTTACCCAGCTTGACCCCTTCTCTAGCACTCTCCCCCACTCCTCTGAGGACTCAAGATGGTGCCAAGGGATGAAACAGGAGTCTCACCATGTTTCCGATCATGTCGTTCATCATCCCAAACATGTCCATGAAGCCACCCGACTGCAGCAGAGATGGAGAGCAGAATGAGTGCTCAGAGATAACCCACCATCCCGTTCTCTTCTTCCTTCACGCCTAGCAACTGCTCTCTGTCATTCTTCATGAACATGTTTCTCTTCCTGTATACTGCAGCCCTCCTCCTCAGCCTCTATGGCTGTTCTGATCCAATTTCCCTTTTCCTGACTGCCCTAGGTATGCCGAAGTCAATGGGGCTCACCTGTAATCTTATAAAAACCATGTCTAGTGGGTCCTTCACCTGCACCTCCCTCCTGAAAAGAACAAACTTCCCTAGACAAGTACATTTTCCTAATGAGTATGGCTCCTACAAGGACAGAAGTCAATATTAGCATCTTTACCTCATGGACTCATAGCACACAGCAGGCCCAGAGCTCTGAGAACACGATAAAAAGTTTCTAGGGTTACCCATAAGGCTATTCTAGAGAAGCACATTTGGAAGTAATATCTAAGTGTATAGAGTGTATCTGAGATGGAAGGACACAAGGAGATAAGAACTCACCATTCCCAGCATCCCAAAGGGAGAGACGGCCCCAGCCTACAGGAACAGAGAAAGAACAGACATTAGCGACCACCACTGATCTCACTGCAATCCCAAACCTAGCCCATGGCCTCAGCTTGTTTTTCACCTTCCTCTCGAAGGGGTATCACTCAGCCCTTCTTCCAGACCCCTTCCCCCTCCTCCTAGATGATCCCACTTTGCTACACTGGTTGTAGTGCAAGAAAAATCAAGCGCTTTACTAACCACCCTCCAGCCTTTCTTTGGGTCTCAGGTACACTGCAGCATCATTACCTGCATCCTGCGGCTGGCAGGCCTGGTCCCTGGCATGTTGCCATCCGTAATGCTGAGGAAGGGGCTGTACCCAAAGCCACCTGACAACATCCGGTTCATATGCTGACGGTGAATAGCAAAGGGGTCCCTGTGGAGTGAGTATACAGTATGGATGGCAGACGGGCCAAGCAGTCAACCGCTCCTCCCCCCAAAAGAAACCGGTCCTGGGGAACAGAGGCACAGATGTCTGCTTGCCCTCCAAGATGGGGCTGGAGCTCAGTATCCAGCCAGTACTGTAGACACCATGGGAACCCACATGTCTGTAGGCACTCAGACACCTCCAGTGGAGTGGGATGAGTACCAGAGCATGGGGGGGAGGCAGTACTCACATCAGGAACATGGGATCCTCAGGCTCCACATCCCTCATGAAGCGGAACATCCTGATTTTAGCTCCAGGGGGCTCCACACTGTAACGATGAGATACTTGGCGGCAGCCAGGCTTTGCACACCCGCTCAGTGTCGGGGCGCTCACAGCACTCACCGTCCCTTCCACATCCTGCGGCTGACCTCCCACCCCGAACGCGGTGAGACCCCCTCCAGGGCTGCACCACCAGCCTCCAGGGAGAGAGGAGCTCTTCCAGCCTCTCGCAAGGCGGGCCACGGGGAACTCCCCCGCCTCTCCCACTCAGCCATCCTCTCCCCAAAGCCCTGGCCAGAGCATACCCCTCCCCTGCCGCCACTGTTCCGGATGCGAATCCCAAGTGCCGGCCCTGCGCCCCGTGATGACCCCAGCACCCCGCCCCCTCCTCCCCCAGCCGCTGCCAGGCCTCCCCGGGCGGGCCTCGCGGTCCCCGCCGAACTGTCAGAGGACTCCGCTGGCCCGAGCTCTCCGCCGGGCGAAGCAGGAGGCGGGCCTGACGCTCCCCTCCCCGCACCCCAGGCTCGCAGCCCTGCAGCCCCGCTCCCACCGAGCCTCACCGGTCCCCGCCTCGGGCTCAGCGGCCCATCCGGCCGGTCTCGCCTCCCGAGCGCTGCAGGATCAGGGCTGGCGGCCCCGGACGCAAGATCGGTCCGGGCTCGAGCTGCTCGGCCTCCCGCGCCGCCGCCTTCCACAGCTGCCACCTCCGTACCTCCCGCGGCCCACGGAACCCGAATCCCGGCCAGGCCCGGACGGAAGTGACGTCACGGCGGGGACGCCCACCCCGGGGCGGCCCGCGGAGCCCCGCCCGCCGGCGGGCGTGGAGAGGAGGCCGGGGCCGCCCCCGGGGTGGCAGGGCGCTGGGGTAGGGCGCGGGGTCCTCCGGGGACAGAGGGTGATGGGAGCTGATTGGCAGCCTGGGTTTGGGCTCTGCTGACCCGAAGAGGCTCCCCGTCAGGGTTTGGGGGGAAGCAGAGGGAGTCATTACTCGCGAAGGATGGGGCTGGGGCGGGGCGGCACGTTCGCTCAGCGAAGGAAGAGGACCGGGAGCAGATTCCCATGGGAGGGGCACGCGCCCCGGGGAGGACCAGACGGGGCGGACCCCTGGGGGAGCCTGGAGCCGACTTTCTACCGGAGAAGCGCTCAGCCCAAGAGGCAGGAAGGGCGGCGATCCCGCAGGGGACGCTGGGGGCCAGCTCGGGAGGAGGCGCTACCGGACGGAGGCGGGGCCGCTGAGTGACGCGGGGAGGCGGCGGCAGTCCCCCAGGGCAGCCTGGTCGGCTCGGAGCGAGCGGGCGGGGCGAGTCCAGGTGTGGGAGGGATCCGGCCGCCAGATGGCGCCCTTGGGTCAGACTGGAACGACCTCCCCCAGGGAACTGGGTTTGGCGAGGTTCCTAAACCCCTCACTTAACCCTACCGTGAGGGTCGGAGCTCATTTAGTAGCAACCTTCCCTGTCTTTTCCCTAATTTCTGTGTCCTCAAGAGCTCCCAGCCCTGCACTGATCTTGTCTTAGTCAGGTAGCTAGGTCAAGGGTGTACTGTAAAGACTTGGAGAAGCTTCATTAACCAGAATCACCCTGGGGTGGAGCTGGAAACAGACTCTGGAGACCTGACTCCGAGGCCAAAGACTGATACTTTGACATAGTAAATGTCTTGCATAAAATCTGGCCCAACTGGAGAGAAAGGCCCATCCCCCTGGGTATCAGGGAATTTGGACTGTCTAGGGTGGACTTTAAACCAGATTTATCCAAATCTAGCTCTCCCTGGTTCTTTACTCTGGCTGCCAGCCATCTGAGTGCTATGTGGAGCCTGACAATCAGAAAGACTTGTTCCCAATATTTCCCTGGGGGAGAAAGAGGAAGGGGTCCATGGTGACTCAGGAAAAGGTATTGGGGGCAGGGCTTCTCAGGTTTCTTTGGACTTGATCATCATTAAAGGGGAAAAAACAATAGTGAAGACAGAGGGTACAGAGACAGATAATTTAGAAGCAGGCTGACTGGCAAAGCCAAAGAAAGACAAAGACACAATAAAAGAAAATTTGTTTTCATTGATATTTCTGGGGAAGAGACTTAGTAAAATATTTTACATTTATCTTCCAGATGCTCTATCTCTTCACATCCCACCATGCAAGTGCCCCTGGAGCAGATCCCAAGTGCTGTTTACAAATTACAGTTTAGCTTCTAACTATGAGACAAAGCTCCAAACCTGGGTTTTTGTCTCAGGTTAACAGAAATCCTTGAACAGATGGGGATGAAGGAGGCGATGCAAGAGCTCATTTTTGCGTTCCAGGAGACATACCATTTAGGCAGCCATCTACTCCCAAGAATTGAAGGAATGTAATTTTACAAGAACCTTTCTGTCCCCAACAACCAGAGTGTGTCTCCCTTCTCCATTGCCTTCACTTCTATAGGGTGTCCCAAAATTCACGCAAGAAGTAATTTTGATAGAAAACACAGGTTTATAATTAAAAATTGTAAATTTCTTATTGATTCATAAAGTATACAGTATAGGGTTATGTATGGAATAGCATATCGGGTAAATGGCCTCCACAGCTTTACTGGCACATACGCAAAGCTGTGGTCTTCATTGTCCCTGCTCCTGGGCCATAATTAGTACTTGGTAATGCTTATCAAATTGAAGGGATTGAAATCAAAGGGCAACAGATATTAGAATCTGATTCAATAAATCAAGTAAAATTAGGCTTTTATTTTTTGTTGTTGTTAATGCTCACGCAAAATTCAAATCTTGCGTGAATTTTGGGACACCCTATATTTCCTCCCATGTTCCCTCCTTGTTTTTCTGCCACCCATTCCTCCTTCCTTCCTTCTTCCTTCCTTCCTCCCTCCCTCCCTCCCTCCCTCCTTTCCTTCCTTCCTTTCATCTCTGTCCAATGAACTGAGGAACAGAAATTCCTCTGTCACTGGAGTGTCTTGTAGATGGTAAGATGTAGGAGGGAAGTGGACCCTGCCAGGGGTGAGGGTTAACACCAGGAGGATAAAGATGGAAGAGAAATAAAGTAGTTCCTATATTCACTTCTCTATCTGATAGAAACAAAGTCAGGAAGTCCTTGTGAGAGCAGAGCTTGGCCAGAAAGGGGCCTTTTTAAGTGCAAGGTCATGCACCTGGAGCAATCCCAGGGCAGTTGGATTTGGAAAAGAGTGAGGATGGGGAATGATGTGGGAGTAGGGGAAACTGGATTTCCTGCCTGGGCCAAAGTGAATGGGTGTAACTGAGTGTATGTGTGTATGTGTGTATGCATTTGCATCGGGGGAGGAAGGTGAACCCTGAAAATTAGCACTAAGGTGCCCCAGGTAGAGGGAGTTGTACAGCAGACACCAGGTTAGAGTGAGATTGAAAAGTGACTCAGGAGCATTTTTTAAAAATCAGCTTTTCTGTTTGTTTTTATATCCACATCCATTCAACAAATATTTATTGAATACCTACTGTGTGTCAGGTACTGTTCCTGGCTCTGAGATATAGTAGTAATACAGGGAAAATAAAGCAAGGTAGAAGGGGGACAGAGGAACAAACAACTGGGAGGTAGTGGTGGCTTTTTAGAGTGACTAGGGAAGGCATCGCATATCTACACTAATAAAAGAGAAACATGGTAATTGGCGTACAACTGCTACCCTTTTCATTGGCTAATCAGCGAGATATGCAAATTAACTGTCAGCCAAGATGGCGGCCGGCAGCCAGGCAGCTTGAAACTAACATGAGGCTTGGTTGCCTCAGTGACGAGGAAACAAACGTTCCCCGCCTGCGGCTGCAGGCCTCTGAACGGGCAGTTTCAAACATTGTAACAAATATCGCCAGACTTCAGCCAGCAGATTCGCAACATTGTATGCAAAGGCCAGAAACCTACTTTCTGGAGCGGAGGCCTAAGAGCTGGAGCCAAGCCTCAAGGTAAAGCTGGCCCAGAATAAAAAAAAAAAATGAAAAAAGGAGCGTTTGGGAGTTCAGTCACTCCCAGCCTGAAAACAGCCCTCAGCCCCTCACCCAGACTGGTCAGGCACCCCAGTGGGGACCCCCACCCTGAAGGGTGTGTGACCAGCTGCAACCAGCCATCATCCCCTCACCCAGGCTGGCCAGGCACTCCAGTGCGGACCCCCAACCTGAAGGGTGTGTGACCAGCTGCAAACAGCCATCATCCCCTCACCCAGGCTGGCCAGGCACCCCAGTGGGGACCCCTACCCTGATCCAGGACACCCTTCAGGGCAAACGAGCTGGCACCCACCCATGCACCAGGCCTCTACCCTATATAGTAAAAGGGTAATATGCCTCCCAGCACCGGGATCAGTGGAGCCGAGAGGCCTCCCGGCACCGGGATCAGCATGACAGGGGGCAGCGCCCAAACACCCTGATCGCCCTGCTCTGTGTGTGACAGGGTGCGGCACCCCAACCCCCCCCCCCGCCCCCCCGGGCCCTGCTCTGTGTGTGACGGGGTAGAGCCATAACCTCCCCATTGGCCCTGCCCTGAGTGTGAGAGTGGCGGGGCCCCAACCCCCTGATCGGCCCTGCTCTGTGGGTGATAGAGGGCGGTGCCCCAACCCACTGATCCGCCCTGCTCTGTGTGTGACAGGGGATGGTGCCCTAACTCCCCTATCGGACCTACTCTGTGAGTGACAGGGGGGAGCTCCTCAACCCCCTGATGGGCCCTGCTCTGTGCGTGACAGGAGGGAGCTCCCCAACCCCCTGATGGGCCCTGCTCTGTGCATGACAGGGTATGGAGCCCCAACCCCCCGGATTGGCCCTGCTCTGTGCGTGACAGGGGGTCGTGCCGCAACCTCCCCATCGACCCTGCCTTGAGTGTGACAGGGGGTGGTGCCCCAACCCCCCAATCGGCCCTGCTCTGAGCCCAACCAGGGGCTGCACCTAGGGATTGGGCCTGCCCTCTGCCACCCGGGAGCAGGCCTAAGCCAGCAGGTCGTTATCTCCCAAGGGGTCACAGACTGCTAGAGGGCACAGGCCGGGCTGAGGGACCCCCCCCCTTCCCCCGGAGTGCACAAATTTTTGTGCACCGGGCCTCTAGTCCTATATGATAAAAGCCTAATATACTAAATGTCTGATTGGCTGTTCAGCCAATCAAAGCGTAATATGCTAATGACATGCTAAGGATGCTCAACCACTTGCTATGATGTGCACTGACCACCAGGGGGCAGACAGTCGACCGGGCGACCAATCACTATGATGTGCACTGACCACCAGGGGGCAGATGCTCCAATTGGTAGGTTAGCTTGCTGCTGGGTCCGGCCAATGGGGACTGAGGGAGACAGGCCGGACATGCCCTGGAGCCCTCCCATGGTCCCTCCCCAGCTGGCCAACTTCCCGTGTCACTCCCCTGCCCTGATTGTGCCTGGCCTGAGGCCTTTAGCAATCCGGGACCCCTTGTGGGATATTGGAGATCCCGCAGGCCAGGCCGAGGGACCCCACTGGTGCACTGGGCCTCTAGTAAGATGATAATTAAGTTGAGACCTAAACAAGAGGAGGGCTAGCTGAGGTGAGAACTCTCTAGGCAGATGAAATAGTAAGTGCAAAGGCCCAGAGGCAGAAGTATGCTTAGTGTGTTCAACAAAGAAGCCAATGTGCCTAGACCAGCCGTGGGCAAACTACGGCCTGCGGGCCAAACCGGCCCATTTGAAATGAATAAAACTATTGAAAAAAAAGACCGTACCCTTTTATGTAATGATGTTTACTTTGAATTTATATTAGTTCACACAAACACTCCATCCATGCTTTTGTTCCGGCCCTCCTGTCCAGTTTAAGAACCCATT